CTATTTCAACTCGCTGGTACTGATCTGCGCATGAGCACTGCTTATCACCCACAGAGTGATGGTCAGACGGAACAAGTTAATCAGTGCATGGAGACCTACTTGAGGTGCTTTGTTTAAGCTTGTCCTCATCACTGGTCTCGTTGGTTGCCACCGGCGGAGTTTGGGTATAATACCAGCTCTCATTCAGCATTGGGCCAAACTCCCTTTGAAGTGTTATATGGCTTTCCTCCCCGTCGTTTGGGTTTGGACCTTTCGGCCGCTGCTTCGGTCCTAGAATTATCAGAATGGCTGCAGGAGCGCGAGTTGATGCAACAGTTGGTTCGCCAACACTTACTGCGAGCCTAGGAACGAATGAAGAGGAAGACCGATAAACACAGGGTTGAGCATCAGTTTGCAGTGGGTGATATGGTGTTCCTCAAATTGCAACCTTATGTCCAGTCTTCTGTCGCTCCTCGCGCCAATTACAAGCAGGCGTTCAAGTTCTTTGGTCCATATCGCATTTTGGAGCGTATCGGCAAAGTTGCCTATCGGCTCCAGTTACCGGATTCGGCGTCAGTTCACCCTGTCTTTCACGTTTTGCAACCGAAGCGTTCTCCAGGGAATCAGACTGTAAGTACAACTCCTCCTTCTGACCTGGTGGAATTTCAGATTCCTCTTCGCATTCTTCAGCGCCGATGGTCCGATGATGCCCATCCGGTTGAGCAAGGACTGGTTGAATGGTCTCATATGCCTGTGACTTTGGCCACTTGGGAGTCTCTGCGTGTGCGCTGGCTTGGGGGCAAGCCGCTGTGTTAGCCATGCCGAGGAAGCCTCCCAGGAGCAAACCCAGTCCAGCCCAGCGAGGCCCAGAAGACAAGCTCGGCCCAGCAAACGTGTGGGTTGTCCTGAGTGGGTTCAGTATATGTATCTGTGATGTTGCCTATAGAGGGCATGAACCATTTGTAACCAAACTGAAACTCTGAATTGAATCATTCGTCGTTCCCCTTCGCTAATCCTTTCCTCCCCTCCAAGTTTCCTAGTTGTTCTTCCCCTTTTACTAGTTGTTGCTAACAAATCCTGAGGACCCTCTGATTACCGTGGTGCCATCCCTTCTTGCGGGTACTGAACTTCGTCCCTATCAGTCCTTTGTCCTTTCCTTTCAGTAGTCTCTCCTTACTTAACATTGATCATGGCACTCCAATTCCATCATACTTTAATGATAATCACCTTCTCATCCATTAGGCTTTCATCCTATACCCACAGCTAGGAGATGATGCTTTGGAGAAAATTGCCAGATACTACATGGACATTGAGAATGTTGAGGCTGCAGGGAGTGAAGCCTTTGTAGAGACTGAAACTGTTGCTACTGATGTTGAAGAACCTGAAGAAGAGACTGACATCCAGATCCTTGACTCCCCCCACCTGTGTTCATGACACCAAGAAGGAAGAAAATACTGAAAGTCAAAGAGAAACTGGATGACAATTTTCTGAGGCGCAGCAAGAGAATCTCTGAGAAGCTTCAAGGGTACAAGAATGCAGAGAGTGCTCAGAAGGCCAAAGAAGCTGAAGAAGCCATGGAGGAGACAGAGCCCATGCCTCTTGCTGTCATCCCACCAGCAGCCACTGAAGCTGCCCCGCACCTCTCTGTTGAGATCATGGAAGGCATTGCAAGAGGTTTTCTCCAGATTCAGCCAGAGAGTGTCTCGCCTGCTCTCCTGAACAAAGACAACAATGATGAATAGAAAGCAAGAAGGGATCCTTGGTGTGACTGTCTTGCTGACAGTGCACCCTCTATCTTTTGTTAGATGGCTGTTTAGCTCCTGTTCCCAGTGCCTGTACTGGATGATAAATAAAATGATGTATCGACAAACCTGGTGTTTTAGCATCCCTAGGAGCTACTTTGCTTATCATGAACAATCTAAGTTAATCTATCAGTCCTATGTTTTTTTATCCCTATTTGCTTGTGTCTTTTTCTCAAGATACATTTGCCAGTCTTCAGTGCCAAGTTCCTTGTTTATTTATCTTGTTTTCAGTTCACTACAAGGTTTTTACCCTAATCCAACCACTTGTATTCGCAACGCCATAAATTTAGTTGCAATAGGAGGCTCTATTGCAACATGGACTATAATTGGTTGCGATACATGACACTTATTGCATCTAAATTATTGGGTTGTGTTAGTCCTAACCTTCATCGCGATAGGTGTGTGTTATGGCCACGATTAAACTGTGGTTGCAAGTGCGTGTAAATATTGCAATAAATTAAGCTACGTTGTGTTAATAATAAATTTCGGTTGTGATAGCACGTCATTGTTGCCACCATTCAAACAATGGTTGCGAGTAGTTTTCAATATCGCCACGAAATAACTATGTTGCCTTAATATTGGCCTACGTCGTAAAAAGTCACGCTATATTGCATCGAAAAAATGGTTCGTTGCATGGCATAATGTTCTATTGCTACTCATTACATATGTTGCAATAGTGTAGTACATTTGGTTACAAATTAATAGTCATATTGCCACACAAATTTGTTGGTTGCCCAAACTACTCCGACACATGGCCAAAGGCTTCGAACGCATGGGCCAAAGTCAAAGGTTTCCTATACCGAACGACCAAAAAAACCAGGCACATTGCTAGCATTGCTAAAAAAATGCATCGCCGCAAATCCCCGCCACCCCATAAACCCTACAGCAGCAGCAGCTGCCGCCGTCACCGCCCTTCAGACATCCTTTGCGGCCAAACTAGTGTTGGAAGATTTGTTGCCAGGCTAGTGTTGGAAGATCAAGTTCACGCATCCCCCCGCTGCTTGTTCTTGCGGCCCTTCATGCCCTCTGCCAGTGGCGCTGCAAGGCCATGGATTTCTTCTCCATATCCAATAAGTTTGTTCGGTAGTGACATCTTGTTGTTTATTGTAAATCACTCGGTAATCAGGCAGAGCTACAGCTGCCAAAGTGGGTTGTGGCCCCTCCTTCCAGGGGATTCCCCTCACCACGCTCATGACTTTTGCTAAAAAAAACACACTCATGACTCTCTAGACTCCCCAGAGGCGACGGCGATGGTGTCGAGACCCATCAAATTTCATATGTCCATGAATTTTATTCGAGTTAATGTTCCTCATGTTATGAACGACGTATAGGAATATGAAGTAAAGAATCAAACCACAGAGGAGACACACGATTTAACGTGGAAAACCCCTCCGATGTGAAGGGGAAAAACCACGGGCACTAGCCAGCAACAATCTCACTATCTCAAGAGTTTTGGGTTACACGCCTATGGCGGCTTACAAGAGAATCAAATCTCCGGCGACGGGCCTCCGCTTCGCTCCGTCAGAAGCCTGGCCTATATCCTGGAGTGAATTTGGAACAACTCCAACAAACTCCACCTTGAGACAAATTCATCTTGTATCATAAATCAACCCTTCATCCTGAACATAACAAAGATAGAAAACCACTGGTGCCAACAATAGTCTCTTGGACTAACTAAGCTTGAGCACAGCTCAAACTTAGCAATAGGAACAGGCTTTGTCATCATATCAGCAGGATTATCATGAGTACTAATCTTGCATACCTTCAGCTTACCTTCTTCAATCACATCACGCACAAAATGATACTTGATATCTATGTGCTTAGTTCTCTCATGGAACATCTGATCTTTAGTGAGGTAAAGTGCACTTTGACTGTCACAGTGCAAACTTATGCAAGATTCAACTCCACAAAGCTCAGCGTACAAACCTTTCAGCTAAATTAATTCTTTGCACGCTTCACAAATAGCCATATATTTCGCCTTCAGTAGTAGACAAAACAACAACCGATCGTAAAGTAGCCCTCCAACTCACAAAGACAAATCGCCAACAGTAAACACATAACTCGTAAGTGATCTTCGCTCTGTCGGATCAAGAAGATAATCAGAATCCACATAGCCAATAAGACCCTTATCGGTTCTTCCAAACTTTAAAGCAGAATCGCTATGCCTCCGAGGTACCGAAAATCCACCGAATCGCCCTCCAATGTTCTTTGCCAGGATTAGACATATATCTACTAACAAGACTCATAGCATATGACAAATCTGGACGAGAGCAAACCATGGCATACATCAAAGACCCAACAACACTAGAATAAGGAACCCTTGACATGTATTCAAACTCTGCATCTGTACTAGGACACCGAAAGCGGTGACAACTTAAAGTGAGGTGCAATAGGGTACTAACAGCCTTAGCATTTTGCATGTTGAAACGTGAAGAACTTTCTTGATATAATTTTGTTGACTAAGAAATAGCAAAACAGAATTTTCTGTCTCTACTAATTTCCATACCAAGAATTTTCTTAGCACTACCAAGGTCTTTCATATCAAACTCACTACTCAATAGCTTCTTTAACTTAGTGATTTCAATCTTACTCTTGGCAGCAATCAGCATATCATCAACATATAACAGCAAATATATAGGTGATCCATTAACATGCTTGATGTAAACACAACTACTATCATACTTAGATCTTTTTAAAGCGTGTGCTAACATAAATGAATCAAACCTCTTGTTCCATTGACGAGGGGACTGTTTCAAACCATACAAGGATCTCTTCAACTTGCACACATATTTTTCCTTGCCAGGCACTATGAACCCTTCTGGTTGGTCCATGTATATGTCCTCCTCAAGCTCTCCATGCAAAAACGCAGTCTTCACATCTAACTGCTCAAGCTCAAGATCATGTGAAGCAATAATACTAAGGAAAGTACTGAATTGAACTGTGTTTTACCCTTTGGAGAGAACACATCATTGTAGTCAACACCGGAATTTGATCTGTAGCCTTTAGCAACTAACCTTGCCTTTATACTTTGGAGGCTCGCTTGGAGATAAACCCTCCTTTCTCTTGAAGATCCATTTGCAACTGATGGTCTTCTTATTCTTAGGCAAAGGTACAATCTCCCATGTACTGTTCTTCTCAAGAGACTGCATCTCCTCATGCATAGCAGAAATCCAATTCTCAGTATCACCACAACGAATAGCTTCTTTATAGGTTGCTGGCTCATGAACATTTTCCACCTATTCAGCACAACTCAAAGCATAGTAAGACAAATTACACTCTTTAATAAGACGCTTAGGAGGTGCAATTGTCCTTTTTGACTTACGTTGAGCAATAGGTAAATCCTCCTCTAACTTCAAAATAGGAGGAGTTTGCTGAACATCATCATGAGCATCATCCTCAACATCATTATCATGGAAACCATGCTCATCAACAGGCTCCACCTGCACACCTGTATCATCATCAACATGCTCCACCTGCATGCGCATATGCTGCAGCTCCTTTTCTAGAACATGATCTGAGGGCAAACTGTCAGTAAACATCACAGATTCATTGAAAACAACACTCCTGCTCATAAAAGTCTTTCCTGTTTCAGGATTCCACAATTTATAGCCTTTGACTCCCGAACTATAACCAAGGAAAAGACACTTAACAGCTCTAGGCTCTAATTTTCCATTATCAACATGAGCATAAGCAGTGCATCCAAAAACTTTCAACTGTGAATAATCAGCAGGCGTACCAGACCATACCTCAATGGGAGTTCTTTTATTTAGTGGAATAGAAGGCGACCTGTTTATCAAAATGTGAGCGAGATAGCGCCTTCACCCAAAAGCGCTTGTTCATCCTGGCATTAGACAGCATGCAACGGGCCTTGGACATGATGGTTCTGTTCATGCGTTCGGCCACACCATTCTGTTGTGGAGTATGGGGTATGGTGTGATGCCTAACAATGCCTTCCGATCTGCAATAATCATTAAATTCACGCGAACAAAATTCTCCACCATTATCAGTACGAAGCAATTTTACCTTCCTTTCAGTTTGCCTTTCTATCATTACTTTCCAGTTCTTAAAAGCAGCAAAAGTATCATCTTTCATTTTGGAAAATAAGGCCAAACCCTTCTAGAGTAATCATCAATAATTGTAAGCATGTAACGAGCACCACCAAGTGAGGACTTACGGGAAGGACCCCATAAATCAGCATGAACATAATCAAGAGTACCTTTAGTGGTGTGAACAGAAGTGTTGAAATGTACCCTTTTATGCTTCCCGAAAATACAATGCTCACAAAACTTTATTTTACTCGAAGTGCAGCCATCCAGCAGGTTTCTCTTCATCAATTCTGCCATACCATGGTGACTCATATGTCCCAAACGCATATGCCAAAGGTTAGTTTTACTAGGTTCATCATTAGTAATAGCAGCAACAGCAAACAAGAGAACCTTTTGATACCTTCAGAACGCCATCTGAACCGGAATATTTGTAACCTTCTGCATCAAGCGTGCTCAATGAGATAAGATTTCTGGACATCCCTGGTATATACCTGACATTTTTCAGCGTGCGTGTCATGCCATCATCAGTCTTGATCTGAACTGATCCAATCCCCACAATGTCACACGGGTTATCATCTCCCATCCGCACAATATCCCCTTTCTGCACAGGCTTATACGAGCTAAACCAATTTCTGTTAGTGCAAATATGAAATGAACATGCGGAATCGAGAATCCATTCATCATGACCAGCAACACAACCAGCAAATACTACCAGACAATCTCCAGAATCATCATCAGACGCAGCAGCAGCAACAGAGACCTTACCAGCCGACTTGTTTTTCCTCTTCTCCTTATTCTGTACTTTTCTGCAATCCTCAACATTATGATTTGTCAGCTTGCAATAAACACAGAACTTTTTATTACCATGCGGCTTGGACTTTGAACGGCCTCTCCTTTCGTAGTTCTTTCTACCATCATTGCCATCATTGGAGGATCTGTTTTCAGTTCTGCCTCTCACATGCAAAGCATCGCCCTTGGAGGACGACGTCCCGTCATTCTGCACCATGCCTCTCATCTTCTCCCTAGACTGGAGAGCCTCATAAACTTCCTTTAGGGTTAGTTCATCACGGCTCAAGAGTATGGTGTCACAAAAATTTGCATACGAATTTGGCAAAGAACATAGCAGTAAAAGACCTAAGTCCTCATCATCATACTTCACCTCCATCGACACTAGGTCGGCGACGATCTTCTTGAATTCAGCGATGTGGCTCATCACTGAATCGTCCTCCTTCATCTTCAGAGTGAATAGCTTCATCTTCATCTGCATCTTACTGGTTAGATCCTTGGACATACAGATCGATTCCAGTTTCAGCCATAGTTCTGCAGCAGTTTTCTCTTTCAGACACTCCTGCAAAATATCATTATGAAGATGCAACTGAATTAGGGCGAGCGCCTTCTGATCCTTGCGGATCTCTTCTGGAGTCCACTCGGCCTTCCTCTTTCCGAAACTATCCAGCGCCTCATCATAGTCATGAGTCTGCGCCAGAATCCCTCGCATCTTGACTTGCCATAGTGAGAACCGCGTGTCGTAGTTCAGCAGCGGAAGATCGAACTTCATCGACGTCGTCATGAACCCTAACAGCAACCAAAGCTCTGGTACCACTTGTTATGAACGACGTATAGGAATATGAAGTAAAGAATCAAACCACAGAGGAGACACACGATTTAACGTGGAAAACCCCTCCGATGTGAAGGGGAAAAACCACAGGCACCAGACAGCAACAATCTCACTATCTCAAGAGTTTTGGGTTACACGCCTATGGCGGCTTACAAGAGAATGAAATCTCCGGCGACGGGCCTCCGCTTCGCTCCGTCAGAAGCCTGACCTATATCCTGGAGTGAATTTGGAACAACTCCAACACCTCATGTAAATGATCCTGCCCAGAACTAACAAAGTGCAAACTCTATTTCAAAAAAAGGACTGCTAGCACTACAATGGCAGGAACAGGTGCATATATGCACAACTATTTGTATAGATAAATATCTTATTTCGTTTGAGAACAAGCAGCAGCCATAGGTGCTACTAGTACAAGCAGCAGCTGTAGAACTAAGCATTTGGCTACAGCCATCAGAAGAATGTTTAAGAATTTCCTAGAACGCAAATGTTTTTGTCATGCTGCTGCCGAAGAAGCCACAATTGTTTATGCAGAGAATTGGGGCCTTAGGAGCATGGACTCCGGTGTCCTCACACTCTTGTTTCTAGCTCTCTTGTGCCATTGCTACCAACAGGCTGCAGGGACACAAGTTCACAGTTCATTAAAAGACAAATAAGAACACAAAATTAATAAGAGGGACAAAAAGACATAAATACATGATTCAGGTTCAGAAAGAAATACAACCCAATGTCTACCAGTTGGAAGTAATTAGCACATACCACCAGGTTCCATATTAAGCAGCGGTACATGATTCAGTGGGAATAACATCTCTAGCCGAAATATTCATAATGAACTGAAGGTGGGACAAGCAAATGAATCATAATATCAAAAAATGCTGGTGGGAATAACATCTCTAGCCGACATAAAGTCTCTCCAATTGAAGAGGTTAGTTTTTCAAGGTCACTTTCCACCAGTTCCTTTGAACATAATGAACTGAAGAATCTACTTAGCTGAATCAATGGGATAGCAACATCTTGAGGCAATATGTCGCGTACTACTAGTGGTAATAGTTTATGTAATATAACATGATAGTCATGAGTCTTCAATCCAGAAACCTTACATCCCTTGACATCCACGCATCTCTTTATATTTGCTGCAAAACCATCAGGCATCCTCACTCCTTGTAGGAATTTGCATAACATTTCCTTCTCATGCTTGCCTAAGCTGTACAACGCTGGTGGCAAAGTATACTTGCCATTCTCCACCATAGGATGTTGATCCTTCCTGATCCCAAGATTCTGTAAGGCAAGCCGAGCCTTCTCACTATCCTTACATTTACCATCAATGCCAAGCAATGTCCCCAATATGCTCTCACCAATGTTCTTCTCGATGTGCATGACATCCAAATTATGCCTAATAAGCAATTTTCCCGAGTATGGTAGTTAGAAGAATACACTCTTTTTTCTCCAATTGTGCCACCTAGTTTCTTCTTCACGCTGCTTCCTCTTCCTTGTGCCTTGCCCAAATTTTGGTTGCTCAAAACTGTCATACTGCTGCAGAACCTCTTCACCAGTAAGCGGCACCGGAGCCTCCCTTGTTTCTACCTTGTTGTTGAAGCTACTTTTATTCCTGCACCATCTATGGTTCTGTGGCAAAAAGCGACGATGACCTAGGTAGCAATGCTTGCACCCAAATTTCAACCATAAGTACTCTGTAAACTTATGACAGTAAGGACATGCAAACTTGACATGTGTTTACAATTTAAAATTGAAGACTTCTCATGTTTTTATTGTTTATATATCAAATTGAGTCATAAATCTTACAATAATTTACCGAGTTGGTAAATGAATTTTTACCAAAATGTATGTGAAAATTTTGGCATGGCATATCCATTAGAAAAATCCTGGATCTGCCGGGTTTATGAGTAGTATAGTTGTTTAGATATATGTTTTACATCTTATTAGGGCAATCACATGCCACAGGCACACAGATTACGGATGCCAAATACTGCTCGTCCGCTCCCCACTCAGCACGCAGTGGCGGCAGCGGCGGCGTCCCAGGCTCTGTGTCGCACGCGTCTTGCTACTCCCCTCCCGCTGTTGCTGCTTGCTTCTTGTCTTGCATATGCACACCGATTTGTTTGGATCGAGTGAGAACGCACGTGTTCTTCTTGCTGAGCCGAGCATCGGTTCCCTCATCACCGGGCTTGATGAGGAGGTCGTGCCAAGCTAGACGAGCCAAGTGCAGTACCGTGCCGCCAGACCTAGCACCTGATCGAGCTGTGTTGCCCTTCTTCCACTCGCGCTTCTTCCACTCGCACTCTAAAATCTCTACTCTATGCAAGAGCTCGAGCTCGAGCCCGCAGGTGCCTGTGCGTCCTCTGCTGTGTGAGAAGAGGTGAGAGGGAAGCCAACAGTAGAAGAAGCTAATAAGAATTATTGGACCAAATGTTACAGGAACTTTTGAAAATGAAAGAAACATGTAGGAACATCCAAAAATTACAAAAAAAATTGTTAGACTTGTCATAAACAGATCTATTTAGGCAAAATAGGAAATCAATCGTTTCTGTAGTTTATTTTCCCGGTATAATTTTATATATGTTTATGACAGGTTATGATCAGTTGTTGGTTCTTTGATTTTTAATTGTTGTATTTATGTGAAATTTAGTTGATCTAAAGAATTGTTTTATACACGCAGTGCACCAAAGAGCGGAGAGGTTTGGACAATATATTTCCAATGCAAGGGAAAGGATCCAGAATACGAATTTGTCAATGTACATTTAGATAAAGCTGATGTCACATATTTTAACTTGGCATCTTTTAAAGAAAAGCTTGGGTATGGACCTAGGGACTTCATGTACTACAAGATGCGTTGTGGCAGGGATGTAGCAAAACTTGAAGCCATGGGTTATACACAAGCTCTGTTCGCTTCTCTTATAATCCGTCTTTTTCAGCTTGTTTTTTTTCCAGCCAGAACAGTGTTTTTTCTTTCACAACAAATCAGCCGGAACAGTGTTTTGGCTTGTTTTTTCAGCGAAGCGAACGGGGCCACAGTGCTACGTATGAATGAGGCTGAGAGGGAAATCAGGTTGGTACTGTCGAAGGAGGAGGAACATGAGGTACATGTCGCAATAACACCAATTAAGCGACCAAGGGAGAAGGGGAACAATGATGACTCAAGCACGCTTGAAGACATTGATGCCTACAAGCTGTGGCTAAAAAAGCTGCAATCCAAGGATCCAAAGACTGGTAAGATTGTTCGATTATTCACTCATGCAAATTGTTATAGCAAAGTGTTGCTCCGACAAGTGGTATTGTATTTTCATCATCACTTGCAGATTTAAGGGATGCCTTGAGGGATGAAACAATCGAAACGTTCAAGGAATGGCTAAGGCATACAGGGCGTCGTTGACACATGCGTAATTAAATATCTTTATTGATTTAAACATGTTTACTGTTCTACAAACAATAAAATAATTATTAACATGTGTTGATTGCATTCTTTTTGTAGTATCATTATTGGAAGAAAATATAAATGATGATGACTTAAGTGAAGGGGAGGAAAATGATAGGCCAAGTCATGCTAGGAAACCAAAAAATCTAGGAGATGGTACGTGCTGGTCCATCCATTTTATATTTTATATTAAAAACTCTTTTGCTAATCATGGATAATGTTCCATTATTTCTTAATGTTCAATTAGGAGAAAGTTCCAAAAAACATGGAAGAGGATGTCTCAAAGGTCTGATAGTAACCAACAAGGGAATTAGGAATCGGACTCAGAAATTAAAAATCGAATTTAATCCTAATCCTAGGCTTGGTGGCCCGATTGGTGAGAACCGTCGGTCGTTCATGGATGAGGTGGTAACGTTTACCAGGAAAAGGGCTCAAGTTATAGGAGTGAAAACATGGAAGGGTGTGCATCCAGAAGTCAAAAGGTCAATAGCAGATGATATACGGGTATGACACTATCTTTTTTTTGTCCATATGTCTTGTTGTCAATAGCTAAAATTTTGTATTATATTTGTCTTTGCATTGGAACAGTTTAACTGGGACTTACAGAATGTGGAAGAACCTAAAGAAAAGATATGGGCCATTGCCAAGGAGAGGTATAAAGGATTGCGTGCTGCATTTAGTGCTACATACAGGGCTTACCACACTGATGCTGAAAGAATGAAACATAAGCCTGAAGAACTAGACAATGTTGAGTGGTACTACTTGATCTAGTACTTTGGAAGTGAGAGCTTCCAGGTTTGTAAAATGGTTAAATATCCTTTTCGTTGTACAAATGATCAATTCAGTGTTTTAATCACATCATTTGTAAACCATTTACAGAAGAATAGCACCAAGAACACTGAAAACCGTAAGAAGCAAAAGACACAGCATCTCATGGGATCCAAACCATTTTCCCAAATAAGCTATGATCAGGTAATGACAAGGTTTACTGACTGTGTTATTTTTTACAACAGTCAATACCTCATACTACATGTGTTGCCATCTCAGAGAGAACCGACAACTGGTGAGGAGCCTACTGATTTGGATCTTTGGATGGTTACTCGCACCAAGGGCGGGCAATGGTCAAACCTAGATACAAAGTATATGTGAGTGCTAAATATATATATTGTTCTGACTTTACAATTGGTTCATGCTTCATAAAATTTTAGAACACTTCTAATTTTAATCCTTCTAATGTGTTAATTATGTTTCGCTTAGGACAATGCTTGCGTCAAAATTGCTGAGGCAGAATTATTGAAAGATAAACAATATCTTACGGTTGAAGAAGAAAATGCACATTTCCAGAATTACTACAAAGAAACCACAGGAACTAAAATGTACAGATGTCATGGTATTGGATATATGGCGAAATATCCAAAACGAACGGCTCTATTGAATGAGAGAGAAGAGAATTTAGCCCGTAGGTCAGCTGCAGCCCTACAACACCGAGAGGAGGTTGAAGATTTAAAATAAAAACTTGCAAATGAAGGTGCTGCAAGGGAAAGAGATAAGGAAGAAAGTATCCGACAAATGCAGGAACTTAGAGAAGAACTTCGTTTGCAAGTTGCACTCGTGCAGGTAGTAAATATATTATATGCTTGTCTTTTGTCGATTTTTCCCCTAATGTTGCTTGCCTTTTATATCGTGTAGGCTAACCCAGGAACCACCACCTGTTCACAGCCTCCAAATAGCGCAACTATGGGCATGAATGACATTACAACACCACGTATAGAAGATGAAGAACAAGAGGTAATAAAAATGCAGCATGTCAACATACCAAATGCATGCCCGTGCAATACACCAAATGAATGATTAGAATATGCCCCCCCCCCAAAGTAATGTCTCTGCATATTGGTTTACTGCAACGTGCAGTTCTCTGAGATGAGCCCATGTCGGTTGAAGATTGCTTTACTTTCAGCGTGTAGTAATTATAAGTATTCGAATACAACATATTATTATTTCTATTGAATACAATTTTGTATGAAACTCAGAACTTTTGCCTCTTGCATAGGTCAACAATATTGCAAATTAATTACTAAGTATTATAGATCAGTAATGCTGCAAAATCAGAAGTTCTGCCTGTTGCATTTGGAGATTCTGCTACAGTTGTCATTCAACATCAATTTTGTTTTGTTGCATTTGAACATATGTGTATTAATGCACAGTATTGTTATTATTTTATATGTTGGCAGGTTCCACCGGCAAGCGTGATGACCATAGTAAAAGAAGTTGATCCACCTACTACTCACACCACAGCTAATACTACTTTAACAAGAAATCTTTTTTCAACAGACACCAGCAACCTAGCAGCAGGTTCAAATTTATCACAGGAACTGATATGGCCTTCCACAAAAACTCGCTCTCAAAAGAAAAAGCTACAGGTATGAATGGCTATATATGAAATCTGTTTGTTCATTTCAATCAAATTCTGTGCCGCATATTGGAAATGGTGGGTGAGTCATATATGCTATATATGTTGTTAGCAATACTTCGAGTTTCAGACTCATTATGATCCTGCCTAATCATGTAAAAACTGCTACTATACGTTGACTAATTATGTTACGGCTTATAAAATGCAGGCAAGCATGGAGAGCCAAAATAATTAAAGTACTATGGAATATGCCTGTGAGCGTGCTTGTGCTGATGGAACATCATGAGATGAATAAGTGAAGCAATACTTGGTGTGAATGAAGATCAATTTGTTTTTTTATTGCAAGCATAGTTTAAGACTTGTAACTTGAGAGGATATTTTGGTTATTGCAAACATATTTATTCTGGTTCAGACATAATTTTCTAGTTATTGAATTATTGATTTCATATGTGTGTTGATGATTGAATTTTTTCTTTAATTTTGTTATATCTGTATTGCAAATCTATACAAATATCAAGCAAATTAGGCGTACAC